ACCCTGCTGAGGTCCCTCCACACCCAAAAACCTGCCCTCCCCTGGCTGTACGCCTCAAATCTACAGATATTTCCCAGCCCAGAGTTGACAACCCTGTAACTAGCTATGGAACCGCTTTCCAGACCTCGGAACCCAGGAGACATGGCATAGGAGGTGCTTTTCTACCTTAGCTGCCACTGCATAACCCCAAATCAACATAAGTCAGGGGTGGAGGGAACCATACCTGTTACCATGAGGCTGTCCTCCCATACTACCCACTTGGGGCAGCAAAATGACTTGAGACAGCCCTAAGCAGAATAAACACGGCTTTGCTCCCCCTATTTCCCCCCTCCCTCTGCCCCCCCCACACACACCGGCAGCCACAGCCGGGACACTCACCTGGAGCTTCCCACAACAGGCCTTACTCCTAGTCTTGTCTTGAATGAACCTTTGTTGGTCTCAAAGGTGCAACTGGACTCAAAATGTGTTCTGCTGCTTCAGACCAACACAGCTGGACACCTGGATCTGCCTTTGTGATAGATGAAGATGGGAAGCCGTGTTAAGTCTGTCTGCAGCAGTAGAAAAGAGCAAGAGTCCACTAGCACCTTAAAAGACTAACAAAACCTGCGGCAGAGGAGCTACCGTGAGTCATGGCTCGTGTCTTCAGAAACTGCTAGAATGTGAGGCTGTCTGTCCCTATATCTTGGAGGGTGGAGTGATTTCAGGTGCCGAATAACAGCAGGCGTGATCGGATTAGGTGTGATATGCAGAGGGGCAGTAGGCATGAAGAAACCAGCATTGGTCATGAGACAGGAAACCAAGATCTCGATTCAGTCCAGGAGGAATTTTTGCTCACGAGACTCCACCGCTTAGAGGGAGCATTGGTCATGTGTATTGGCCCTTGCGTTTCGGCCACCTTTACTTGTTTACGAGGCTTTCATTGGGCTCTTGTCTGTTTTGAACTGTCTTTTTAATAAATACATGCATTTTTGTATATTATAAGTTTCAACTAGGTTTTTCATATTGGCCCTTTATCTGACTTCTTTCTTACCCTCGTGGTTCTTGGTTCCAGTTTTTGGGTCAGGTCTGTTTCCCGTTCCCTGTGCCTTACTTACATCCTTTCCACGACACTAGCCGGCCAGCCAGACCGACACACACACACACACACAAAACACTTCCGGTTCCATCAGCTTTATTTCCAATCCTCCTGGCCGGGCCTGACGGGCTACCCGACTGCAGAAAACCCACCCTCCCGGGAGGGGGACCCAGATTCCTCGGCCGGCGTCCCCGGCTAGGAGGCGGAGTCGGAGGCCTCCGAGCTGTCCTTGACGTCCGTGCTCTCCGTCGCCTCGCTGACCTCACTGACGTCCTTGCTGTCGCCGCTGTCCTCTGCCCCCGGCCCGCCCCCCACAATGGCGCCCGGGCACTTCTCGTCCTGGCAGCAGTCGCCAGCATGGTTAGCCTTGTGGTCGCCGCCCTTGTTCTCGATGGAGCCCAGCAGGGAGTGCTTACTCCTCTCCTTCAACTCCAGCTGCCGTCTCAGCTGCAAGGAGAAAAGGGGGAAAACGCTGTGAGCTGCTTTGCTTTGGGGGGGGGGAGGTGGTTTGCTGTCAACTTCAGTGTTCCCTCTGGACTTCCGGTTTTGGCGTTCTAATAGTGGACGCGTCTCTCGGGAGCTCCC